TTGTACTAAAGCCCCGTTCTCTTCCTACCAATACAACTGACAGTTTTGTAAGCTTTGTATTTTGTATCTTTGTGTTTTGCTCTCTGTTACAAAATTAAACATTTCGATTCATCCTAAACCATCGCACGCCTGGCTTTATTTTAAGGTTCATAATGAGATGATGAGGAGAGCCTGTAGAGGGCGCTGCATAGCCGGTAGAATCAAAAGCTGAAGTTCAGAAGCTGAGCTAGATGATATGAACACGTTTGTGCATTAGGTGGCGCCACTTTGTCTTTTCCTACTGCTCTCTGTGGCGACTTTTTTAGTCGAGAGTGTGCAGGGTGCCCCGGATGATTAACCAAAATAGGTGGTTTTCCTCGTTTTATGATAAAACCTTCATCTATTAAATTATGCTGCACTCTAATGTCACCACTTCATTTCCCTGCTTTATTGTTTATGTGAATTGCATGGCATAAAAATTAAAGAACCTAATTTTTTTTTATTGAAAAAAGTAAAAAGATAACTAATCCAAAAAGGTTAACAAACCTGAAATGAGTGTAAGCATCTGCGCTCAATTACTGCACAACTAAGCAACACATTTTCCTATATCACTTTTTTTTTATTTTCATCTGTTTAGGTGAGAAATGGCAAACAAACATTCCAATAAACATTTCTGACATTGAAAAAAATACTAGTAACCAAATACAGCCACTTTTCTTTTCAGTAGAGTCATAAGATCAGTTTCTTGATCTTATCAAGAAACTTTTTGCAACCAACAACCACAGCTTCCATTCTGTTCAGAGATGGACTATTTTCCTTCACGAGAAACATGAAGAAACTTATGTTTTATTCTTTCAAGTTCTAAGACATAAATTAAAGAATTTCAGATGTGTCTGCAGGTAAACACTTAAGTTGACATGACATAAAAAAAATAGTTGAAAACTACTATTGATGTTTGGAAAGAAAACATCCGTCCACATCCAGCAGTCATTAGACGAGAGGCCTGGCACACCATAGTCCACAACATTAACTTATTTACCTTATTTATTTGTTCATTTATTTTCTTATGCACACACAAAAGTTTGAAGCAACATGTGGGTTAAAAAATGTCAATCCATTTTCTCCTGTGAAATATCTGTTCGATGTGAGTTGCACTTTAAACTCTTTCAGCTTCTTCTCTTTTTTCTTTGTAATCCTTGTATCAATTTCAGATGATTTCTTCAGAGCATGGAGACAAAATTATGAAATCATAACCTTCTAGCTCCGTATCCATATGTGCAGCTTTGCAAGTAGCTTTGCACAAAATTTATTTTAAAAATCCACAGGGCTGGCAGATGGTATTAACAGGAATATAAATGAACTGAACTGAAAATGGAAGCTTGAATGCACCAAGTTTTATATTAGTATATTATATTGTAATTATTTTATAAATGACTGATTTTTGTTTTCATCAACTGAAATAAAGACTCCAGTTCATGCCAAGAAATGCTTTATTAAAAGTGTGTGAAAGATTACATTGAAAAATCAGCATCATTTTCCATCAGTAAAGATGCTCCACATATAACTTTTATTCTGGGATAACTGGAGCTTTTCACATGCTACTTAGCTCCACAGTGCCCATCAAACAGAGTTATGTTCATGTTAAGCTTCTTTTTCAGGATCGCCTCCAGTTCCTCTAAGGGCATCTCCCTAACATCATAGCCTGAATTTTTGGGACTTTTCTCCACCACGTCGTCTCCACTGTTGGGATCGTTTCTTCCCACAGCAGCATAAGTGGGGAAGTATTTTCCCTGATCCTTTCCAACGTTATTGTCGTTGCAGCAGTAAGCAGACCATATGTACTCAGGAATGAACACCCGGTCTTTGATTTTGTGCTCTCCTGACTGATAAGGGATGATCCCGGTAACTACATACAATTTATCTTTGCAGACATTTTTAAATCTGTCCGACAGATTCTGCTCAAACTTGTTCCACTCCTGGTTGTTGGAGATAGCTGCTTGAGGAACGATGTTTGTCAGGGTGAAAGTGGCCGTCCGATCATCCTTTGTCGCTTGGTGGCTGCTGGGGGCGAGATGGCCTCTGGTGAAGCCGGAGCGTATGTAGTCATTATTCACGGCCTGGCTCTCCTTCAAGTTTTGGTCTGGGTTTTTGATGTACTTCATACTTTTGTCACCTTTGCTGTTTGCCAGCTAAAATATACAGAAAGAAAGCGATAAGCAAAATTCATTTAATCATTACTTACACTGTTTATCAAAATAGCAAAAACGACCAAATGTTAATGGAATAAAAACATTAAAAACTACATGAGGCTTTTTCTAGTATAACATATTATTTTTAATTCCCAGCTATTTCCTGGGAATGAAAAACATTTTGGACATCAGGTCTTACCTGAGGCTCAATCATCCAATCAGGACGAGGTCTCTTCCCATCTGGACTGTGGAGTTTATAGGCAGAGTACAGCGGTGTCCGATACTTTATGTCGTACAGGGTGGCAAAGCGATAGGCGTTATGGTACAACTGGCAGATATGCCGATAATCTGATCCGGTGATGCCCTTGGGTGGTTCGTTTCTGTAGAAGAATTGGAGGCAATTGTTAAAGTTTGCAGCAACCTCGCCATAAACCAGGCCAGAAAAGCAGGTTAGGAGAAGAAACAGAGCTCCGTTCGGCAGCATCTTTCTTCCAGTCCTTTGGAGCAAGATAGCAGAGCTGCACTAAGTGTGAAGGAAAGGAAAATATGTGCAAGAGATGGAGAGCTCTTGGTTAAATACTACCTGAAAATAGAGGAAGTGGCTTGTGGCTTGATAAAACAGCGGTTGCAACATTTTCACATAATTTTTATGTAAAAATGGAAATGTATTAACATGTGTTATTCAGTCACATTTCTTGCAAAACGCACGTGGGCTTCTTCAACACGAGTAAAGCAGCAACACATGTTGAACTTTGCAAAAGAGTGCAAGTAATTAGCAAACTGCAGATAAAGTTTCGATTTGAAAAAATCGTAGTCTATTCACCATCTATTTAACTCTTAAAAACTTGTTGAGATGTGATCAATTCTCTAACAATCAGCTGTTACAGCAAAACATTTACTGATTGTTACAATTACTGATGAGTAATTTGGCTCAGTCAGCTGGTGGACTTTAGTTTGTTGTTTCTAGGTAGAAAACAGCTTAAAATTGCTTTTTTAAAAATGAACTTTAAAAATGTTAAAGTTCATTCTGGCGGAGCTTAAACCTCCATTTTGTGGAGGAGGAGGTGACGCAGCAGCAGACTCATTATGAGATTTATACTCTGCCTTTTATGGGTTTTTTGATGATAACAGGTATAAAGTATACGTTCATGCAGCACAGAGACTGTTGGGTAATTTTTTTTTTCTTTCAACACTGCAGTGTGAAAGCTTCCTTTTTTTGTAGTCTACGCCTGATTTTAGAGATCGTCTTAGAAACCACAGTGGAGATATGAGCCACTGTAGATAGCAGAAACATTATGACACGGCTGAGTGAAAACATGCAAATGCAAATTGCTCTCAAGACGGAAATATTAAAATGAGGTCTAACCATTTTTTTTCTTATCAGCTAAATTAGAAGTTAGATAAGCTTAGATCGTGACGCAGTTGGTAGCACAGTTGCCTTGCAGCAAGAAAGTCATGGGTTCAATTCTGCATGAAGTTTGCATGTTCTCTCTGTGCATGGTGGGTTCTCTCTGGGTACTCCGGCTTCTTCCCACAGTCCAAAAACATGACTGTCAGGTTAATTGGTCTCTCTAAATTCTCCCTAGGTTTGAGTGTGTGTGTTTGCATGGTTGTTTTCTCCTGTCTGTCTCTGTGTTGCCCTGCAATGGACTGGCGACCTGTCCAAGGTGTACCTGCACCCTCCCGACCCCAATGGGTTAAGCGTGTAAGAAAATGGATGGAGGAATAAGATCTAAAACTCAGTACAAACAATAGGTTTTGGGCCTTAGCTCTTAGATTACAAGCTGAAGTTAAGATATGGATGTTGGGTAAAAACTAATCATTGTTTTGTCATTTTATTTGAGTGTTTTATCTCGGTATGTTCGGTTGCCTATCTGGCTCTGATCAATTGTTTTTTTAACCCTTGTGTTTAGAAATGGGGTCCAACCGACCCCACACATGTAAAACTGTAAGTTTGACTCAGTCCTCGCATGCACAAGGGTTACGGTTCTTTCTGTATCTATGATGTAATTTCCCACTCAAGGGGGTCCGTCTGTTCTGTTATCTCAGCACTGTTCCACTGAAGAAGGTCATCATAATAAAAGCGATGTCCCAAGCAGAGTTGAGCAGAGCTCACCAATCTTTGATCCCGAGCGGGTTAGAGGTTGTGGATCTCTCCCTTTGCAAAGGAAGGCATAAAAACCTCATTGGTCTTGTGCCTGGTTCTTTACAGGTCTTGAGCTAATTTTAAAAACCCCAACAATGACTTCAAGCTTTTGAAGTCATTGTTTAATTGTGCAATTGTAAACTTCATATCATTTCTCTGTTTTCCATCCGAAACCAGATCTGAAAAATTGCACTTGCTTATTAAACGTTTATAAACATCTGTTACTTCAGATCAGAACCATAACGGCGTATAATGTTAATCTGCTGCATGTCCAAACAGCAGAGTTTTGTCATTCAAACTGTTAATTCATGTTTATGTTAAATGTGAACAAAGCGCCGACCTCTGCTTAGTTCTTCTGTCAATAACAGTAATTTTCAGCATTTGGTCATTTTAAAATATAATTAAATTCAGTTTATTTATATAGGAATAATTTACAACAAGATTTATCTTTTATTTTCAAAAGTAAAAGAAAGTTTAGTTCTATCATACATTCCAAACAGTGGAAAAACGTCAGTCGGCTTTAATTGGACGGATACATGGAGCATCCAGTCTCGTCATAAAGAAGTCAACAGAAAGGGGTGTAAGGCAATTCAAATTTATTTGTGCTGCACTTTTAATTAATGAAACATTGTTGTAAAACAGAGAATAATTTATAGAAGAAAAAAAAACAGCAAGTAATAAAACCCTCATATAAAGGATTTTATATAAGGGTTTTGACATTTCTCATCAAACAGGGTGACAAACACATCCAGCCTCTGAGACAGGATGCCCTCCAAAGTCTGCAAGGTCATCTGCCTCACATCATAGCCTCGTATAGAAGGCTTCACTGTATTGTTAACAGGCACAATCTCCTGTCCGCTGCTGGGATCATTTCTTCCCACTGCAGCATATGTAGGAAAGAGCTGCTTCATCCCCGTGGGGAGGTTCGCTTTGAATTTGGGGCAGCAGTAAGCAGACCACATGTACTCAGGAACAGACACTCTGTTGTTGATCCAGCGTGTCTCTGATTCGTAAGGCATGGCACCAGTGATTACGTACATTTCCCCGATGCAGAAGTTCTTGTACCTCTCCAACACCTCGTTCTCCAGTGTGCTCCATGGGCCAGAGTTGGAGCCGATCTGCTGAGGCACTATGTTTGTCAGAGTAAAGGTGGATTTTCTGTCTTCCATCGTCCCCTGGTGCAAACTGGGACAGAGGTGTCCTTTGGAGAAGTTGGAGTTCCTGTAGTCTTGGAGGTCCGCTTGGCTTTCAACCACGTTCTGGTCAACGATTTTATTAAAACGTCTCATTTCAGGACTGGCACCGGAAAACGTCAACTGCAAACAGAACATCAATGATTTAACGATTAATTCAATTAATTATCTGATTCATTTTACACTCTGATCTTAGGCACAAACATTGTTTAGGAAATATTCAGTTGGTTTTTTTTTCACATTAAATGTTAAGTATGAATCATTTCACATGCAAAATGTTTTTGAAAACGTAATCTATGTTTGAACGAGGCATCTGGGTAGAAATAGCCAGAAATTATGCTGATGTAAGAGTCGCATAACTTCAATATATTTCTACTCAAGTAGAAGTAACAAGAAGGAGTTAATTAAAAAAATAAAATTACTCATGTAAGAATATATAAAAAATTCTTTTTTATATTAAATATGTATGTAAGTAACGTATTTAAGTAAAAACGTTACTTAAATACTGAATACTTGAGTAGGTCTGCTTAAGTCGATTTGTGAAAATGTAACAATCATACAGGCAAAGTGCAAAATGATGTGTTGTGTCTGGTACTTAGAATAATAAAATAAAAATAAAAAATAACTGATTCAAGTAAAATAAAAACTCATTTCCAAAACTACTACCTTCGTTAGGTAATGTGTTAGAACAGTGTAAAGTAGTTCTTGTGACAATATCTACTATTTGGTCTCCAAACGACACAAAAGGTTTAACAGATACAAAATAACATCAGAACAACAAAGTGTGCTGTAAAATCAAACGTTTTAACATTTTAGCTAATTTTATTTGTTCATCCTTGAAGTAACTCAACGTCAGCAGAGTATCCACAAGTCAAATAAGTATTGCTTCGTAAAGATGTTAGTCTTAAAAATATAAACTTGTAATAGTTTTTCAAAAATATAAGTCTGAGTAACTTCTGCTAGAGCTCAGTTACCTTTTTTATGATTTAAAATGATTTAAATCTCAACATTTATAAACAGCAGCATTCATAACATTTTAATGAATATTTTTTAAGAATAAAGGACTGCTTCTTTAAAGTACAGTCTTACTTATTTTACCTACCTGTGGTTCATACATCCAAATGTTTTTAGGTCGCCTCCCGTCTGCAGGACTCAGTTTGTAGGCGGAGAACAAAGGAGCCCGATGCTGACGGCGATACAGGCTGGCAAAGTGATATTTGTTCTTGTAGCGCTGGCATATTGGCTGGTACTCTGCTCTCTCAAGACCCCTTGGAGGAGTTCTTTTATAGAAGAAGTCAAGGCACTCATGGAAGTTGTTGCTGACCTCTCCGACAGTCAGACCACCAAACCAGGGCAGGAGGAAGAGCAGGGCTGCTGTGGAGGACGACAGGAGGTTCCTCTGAGGCATCCTGTGGAACAATCAGGTCAAATGAGACGGATCTGTTGGAGAGAGATGAACGATCCGCCGATATGCTTCCTCTTCGAAAGCTTTAAATTAATGTCTCTCTCAGACAGAGGCTTTATATAGAGCTGAAACGTTGATGATTGCATTTTGAACACCTATTTTCTACACAGCTTCCCAGCTGACCGGCAGAGTTCAAGGAAAGTTCCACTTTTACGTAATTTCAAATCCGACGGTCATAGGAACAGAAATTGCGGTTTAGTCATGTGCAGAAATTAGATGGCTTCCCAAGAAAAAGCTTCGTCGAGTGTGTGCAGAAACGCCATGGTTCAACAAAGATGAAAACAAGATTAAATAAAAATGTGGTAACAGCCACAGGAACTGACAGCTCAGTTTCTGTTTGACTGCTCTACAGGTTGTTGCTGTCTCGTTTTACTCTATTTTATCTGAAGGTTTTAATGGCATGAATATCCAAAGCTAACTTTGAAGAATTAGAAATATGAAATATGGATGAAGAGATTTTTTTAAGACCTTTGACATTAATTCTTTAATCCTAAAAATGTTCTTCAGGTGACAGAAGGCTGACTTTGTAGTGGTCTTTATGTGTCTTTGAGGGTTCAGGTCTTAGTACACCCAGATTTTGGGCCTGATCTCTAGTTTCCAGCTGTAATTACTGAAACTGTGAACTGACCCCACATGGTTCAAGATAATAACTTCAGTTTTGTTTCTGCAGCTGGAGAAAGTTATGCCAATTTTCTAATGATTTGCTCCTCTTTCCTACCCAGAAGTGAAAATAGATGCAAGTTAATTTTCTTTTGTGAGATTTTTTTTTTTATTCAATATATAATCACTGCTTGTGCTTTTAAGTTTCCTCTTTGTGAGGAAAATTAAAAGATCACTTATTAAACATGATTAACTTAGATGAAAAAGATAATAATCTTATATTTTCTTTTGGTCCTGTGGGGGTGCTTTGACTTTTTCAACTGCAGCACCACTGCTTCAGCGTATCACATCTTTACAGGAATTGAAGCACTTACTATTATGAGACAATGACACAATTCAGTGAGTTGGTTCTTTTGCTTTCTCTTCCTTTTCTTCACACATTTCTGTGATATTACGATCACAGAAACTATGACAGGTTAGTCAACTACGAGAAGTTCGTAACTACAGCTTCAAATAACAGTTGATCTTTGTCATTGTATTTTTTTCCATTTATAAAGAAACTCACTGTTTCTGCTTCCAAATTTGCACAACTTCTTTTGCTGTGTAACTCTTCCATTCATGAATTATGATCCGTTATGTCAGGATTTTTTTCCCAAAGTGTTTTGGATTTTCTAAAGGCATAAAAAAAAGGCAAGGATCAGTTGTAATTTTCTTCAAATACAAAGTTGTTATTTGGAAAATACATCAGCATTTGGTAAAATTGTTTTTTAGTGGTTACATGATGTCACAATATATATATGTTTTTGTTGTTTGTTTGTTTTTTACCTGCAAGAGTCCTCTACAGAAGGAACAGGTGTCCACTTCAGTGGTCTGTGTGCATTTATTATAAAAATCCACAAGAAACACAAGAAAATGGCTTTTAGATAGACACCACTATAGTGACCGCTATGCATGAAAGGGTTAAGAAAACGTTTTCCTATTGAATCACAGCTGCATCTCTGAATAGAAATTAACTTTTTGTTTATGATGTTAAATACTAATAGGTAAAACCTGGGTTTGGTGATCTAATTATTTTCATTATACTTTCCATTGTAGAGTTCTGCATTTTCTGCTCATTCTTCACATTTTATGTCAAACTCTGATCTGTTTAACTCGTCTAGTTAAGTTGTTCTGGTTTGTAACTGGGTCACTCTAGTTTTATATGAATGGAAGCTAATTTAAAGATTATTTAAGAGTCTTGAAAGATATCTGGAAAAACTTTACATTCGTAGTCTTACCCATGCTCAGTATTGATGTTTCATGATGCAGCACAAAAACAAACCAAAATTTGCAAAAGGGTTGCTGCTTGTAGAATACGTCATCGCCATCTAGTGGTTAATCAGTCGAATTACACTTGACGCCATGATTTAGAGCTGGATCTAGGTTGCTGTTCAGTGAATCTTCGTGGATTATTTGGAGTCACCGATGATGAGGTAGAAAGTGCAACTAGATTTAACAGGGTTTTTTTTCCCCCACACAGAGGAAATAAATGAACTTCTACAGTCTCAACCAGCTGGAAGTTTCCTCATTCTTCTTCCTGACTCAGAGCCTGCAGAGGGTGATTCAAGCTCACATTTGTGTAAATCTTTACTCCACACGCTTAAAACTTTAAGATATGTTTATTTAATATCACTTAGGCTATCCAAAAGAGCAGCTATTTGTTATCACTGCATGAATCTAACCTGTATGGAAAAGTGGCAAGAAGAAAGTCATGACTGAAAGAAAATCCAATCGACATCCATCTGAAAGTTTCCATAGGGGCATGGAAACCCTGTGGAGGAAGATGATCTGGTCAGGTGAGACAAAAAACAAAAACATGATACTGGAGTTCATTCTTCCAGCAAGAAAATAACCCTCAGCATACATTTACATTTTAGTTTTGATCAAATATTCATATGTAGGAAATGTCCAGTCAAAAATCAAGCCTAAACAACTGTTGCAAGACCTGCAAACAAATATTCACACCTTCTCTCTATCAATCTGAATAAGCATTATTTATTTATTTTTAAAGAAATGAACAAAGATTCCAGTCTCCAGATTTGAAAAGTTGGTAGATGGATTCTGGATGTTGGAGCAAAACCGATGGTCTCATGGGGTTGAATAAAACACACGCCACACTGCATCATTCACTTCACATGTGCTCTAGCAGATAAAATCCCAACAAAATACACTGAAGTTTTGGTGGTGATGTAATAAAACATAAAAAATGTTCAAGGACTGAGAACACCTTGTATTCTAATACATTTATTATTTTAATTTTTATGTTTATTTTTCTCTTTTTTGCATTAACACAGTCTAAGCATGTTCCAGTGTTTTGGTCTAAAGATTTGGTCTTACTATTAGCTGTGCTTGTTTTTATTCAGATCAGTGATTATTTGTGACTTAACTGCTTTATAAAATTATTTATAAATTATAACTGATATAACCCTTTATAAATTATAACTGATAAAACCCTTTGTAAATTATAACTAATAAAAACCTTTATAAATTATAACTGATAAAAACCTTACGTGTCTTGATGCTTAAACTCCAGGTTGTATTGGGGCTTAAGCATCATTCGATTAGTGTCCACCTCTGCCTACAAAGAGAGAGAAACAGACTTTATTTGTCATTCACCTATACATTTATGAAGTAAACATTGAGCAAACATTTGTCACAAGACTCCAAATGAATGACGATTTTAAAAAAAAATTAATGAACTAGTTTTAAAAAGTAGACATACATATATATATGTGTGTGTATATATATATATATATATATATATATATATATATATATATATATATATATATATATATATATATATATATATATATATATATATATATGAGGGACGAAGCTGGTGTGGAATCTGGTTGTTCTGCATTTGAAGCTGCTGAGCCTTTTGCCAGAAAGCAGCCGAGAGAACAACAACCATGGTGATGATTCACTTCAATCCTTCCTGTTGGATCCAGGAGACAGAGCAAAGTTTATGTGGCTGAGCTTAAAAGCAATTGCTGATAATTGGTCATTATTTGCTGAGATGCAGATGTGAACAAACTGAGCTTAAAGACAAAGAAAATGATGAAACATTGTATGTTAACACAACAATAATAAAAAAAAAATCGCCAATTCTTTTACATACTAAATTAAAATAAAACAAAAAACTGTAGGCTCTTTTAATTCAGCTGTGGTGAAAACATCAAATTAAACTTAACAGTAAGCCGAGTTTTAATAAAAGGTTTAGATTTATAGTCTATGTTGAGGATTACGGGCTAACATATATTTGTTCGCTCATGCCTTGTGCCGGATGGCTCTTGATGTTTTTGGCTCAGAAATAATTTCTTTTCAGTTTGCCTTTCCTTTTTTTTTTTTTCTTTCAATCTTTCTTAGAAATCCTCTCAAACCGCTGTGGGCTACAGTCGTGCGCCTCGTGATTGAACCTGCCCATTGCGCAGCGGCTCCGAGCCTGTTTCAGCACGCCTTCCGTCATCTTCTTGAAAACACAAGCTCTGCTGTCAGCTCCAGGCCACTCCCTTTCTCAGCTAGAAACGGAAGATAAGTCTGGTCTCCGCTTGCCACAGAGTTTCTCTTCGGGAAAACTATGAGCGCGGCGGAGAATGGCGGAGTCCAACGCGCTTGAGGAGCTACAGTCGGAGCTCACCTGCCCGGTGTGTCTGGAGCTGTTCCGCGACCCCGTGATCCTCGAGTGCGGACACCACTTCTGCCAGGTGTGCATCATCCAGTGCTGGGAAGCGAAAGCGGACGAGCTTTCCAGCTGTCCGAAGTGTAGGAAGTCGTGTGCGCGCAAACTGCGGCCCAACTCGCTGCTGTGCAACGTCGTGGACAGCGTGCGCAGAGCCCGGGTGATGGACGCAGCCTCGGGGACGCCCGAGTGGGACCCCGAGGGGCCCCTGGAGATGCCCGAGGAACGAGAGCCGGGCTCCAGCATGAGCAGCGTGGTCTCCTCCATCGGGCACTGGCCTCACCTGGTTCTGGACATGTGCGAGGAGCATGAGGAGAAGCTCAAGCTGTACTGTGAGGACGACCAGCTGCCCATCTGCCTGGTGTGCGGCATGTCCCGGGACCACAAGACCCACAACGTCATCCCGATCACAGAGGCCTTTGAAAACTACAGGGTAGGCCTTTCTCCTTTTTTTTTTTCCCCCCCCCTTGCCCACATCCTCCCCAGAGCAAACTATTTATAAACTATTATACAAATGGCACCATGGGGCTTTAACTAAGCATCATGACAACTGGATAACCAAGATGAAACACAGAGATCCAGTCAGGAAGTGATTTACTGACAAACATTAACAGAGGGAGTGCAGCATGGCAGGTTGGTTTTGAAAGCACACTCCCTGTTTGCCCAGACGACATATCTTCCTGGAATTCAGCAGACACCTGTGAACTTTTCCAACTCTCCCGCAAACATAATCCTTCTTGTGTGCTTCTGTTTTTTTTT